CAAATATTACAAAAATATAATTCAAAACAGCAAAGATACAAATACGAACGACAATGACAAACGACAGACAACAGTAGGCAAGAGCGCAGCGGCAGCAACAACAATAATAATAACAACAACAAAACAAAAGCAACAGTCAAGTGTGTCGGTAGCGAGAAGAGTTAAAAAACAATTTACAAATCAGCTGCCTGCTTGCCTGCCTGTTTGTTTGCAATGAGGAACAACAAAGTAAATACAAATGACGAAATGACGACACCAACTATTTAGTAACATCAACTATTGCCGCTGCCAACACGTGCGGTACGTATATACACAAACGAACAAATGTAATTACTGCCTTGCATTGCCAATACGCATACAGTACGCCGTATAAAGGTACCGCCGTACTGTACAAATGTATTTGTGTAAAGATTATTGATTTAATTGATTAGCTCTAAAGATCGCAATGCTCGCAGTTGTACGTACTACTGCCAACCTAAAGTCTATTCAAGTACTAATTATAGCAATAATAACTCAAATTATATGAAGGTTAAGACCGAAGCGGTAACAGCATTGCGACATGCGATGACGATTAATTATTGTTTTGGAGAATATATATACTAATTCCATTATTGAATTTATGGATCGAAAATATACTCTATTTTATTGGTAAAAGTCTTTCAAACAAAAAAAGTTTAGTTTATATATAAATATATTTTATATTAATAATAAAAAACTATAGAATAATAGTCAGAATAATAACATAAAGACAGAGAGAGAGAGAGATATAAATTGAGTACACTCCAATTTATAGTAAAAAATTATATATTCATAGAACAATTGGTGTTATGAAAAAGAGCCAGAATAATAATATAAAAAGAGAGAGAGATAAATTGAGAATAATACACAATAAAAGATTATATATTCATAGAATAGTCGGTATTAAGTCCATGTTATGTAGAGTGTCACGCGTACGTCAAAATTAAAATTGTTGTTGCTTTCGATGCAAAATAAAAAACTGAGAGAGAAAAAGTAAAAATTGGGAGAGAGGAAAAAAAATACTGAGAAAGTATAAACTGAGAGAGAGAGTAAAAAACTAAAAGAGAGAGTAAAAAACTGAGAAGGAGAAAAGAAAACAAATGTCTGTTAAAGTTCAGTCATAAGAGCCAAGGTTATCTGTGCCTCGTCACTCAGACACATCCAAAAACTATAAAAGTAATAGTAGAAATACGAAATTGACCAACTGATGTGACACTCTGCAAAACATGTTCATTTTCTTCATAGCCCGAAAGAGCCAATTTTGAGATGCCCGTGACACTCTACATAACATGGACCTAATGCCTCATTTTCACTGTCATTTTCAATGTCAAATATTGTCAGTATAATGAATAGGGATAGTCATATAATGTTATATTCGCATTCTTGTCATGTAATGAAAACTCATTTGACACACCAGTCAATTATAATTGTCATTTAAAATGACATAGTGAAAATAAGACATTATAGTAAAAACATAAACGCATGGTATGATGACGAAAAACAAAACAAAAATTGTCTAAAATACAAGGATTTCCACATATATGCATAGAAAGGGCCATGAATACGACCTCAATGACGTGTATAGAAACATTCTAAAAAAAATATTGAGACATCATATGGTAATGTGTGTGTGATCCTTTACAATATCATAATATAAAGCATTCATATTAATTACTTAAATTAATTTGAGTACCCCGCATCATAAACTTTGGTCCAAATAGACTCCACCCTCAGTTAAAAAAAAAAAGAGATTTCAAATCAATCTAAACAAATCATAATGGATTAAGAATTACAATGGATTAGAATTTCTAATAGTTAATTAGTGTTTACCACAGACACTAAACTCACCACACCACACTTGTCAACGACAAGTACTAAATTTTTATAACATTATTTATGTAAGAAGAAGCGCCTTCCGTTTTGACATAATCGACAGTAATTGAGATTAAAATGTAGAAATGTGTTGAATACATTTATATACATAAAAAAAATAAAGAACATTAAAAAACAATGACGTTCTTCAACTCTGACGGTCTCAAAACGTAAATCACAGGAATTTCAAACCACAAATAAATAAGTTTTTTTACCTTCTAACTACGAAACTAAGAATATGGAAGGAAGAGAGAGAGAGAGAGAAAGACCAGTTATGTATGAACCCTAGGTAAGTAAACTGTTTATTTATTTAAATGGAATCAATTAGCAAGATATATCTTATTTATGGAAACAATAACAAATTAATTAAACATAAATTTGTGTACGCATAAAAACTGATCTAAAATTATCTCACCGCCGTTCTCAGTTTTTGTCACGAACAAAACAATGGTGGACGGCTATGATACACATGCACTAATTAATAAGGCAAACAATGTGGTAGATATTTAATAAAAAATTTGGTAATAATTTAGTTTTGCATTTCTTTCTTATTTTCTCTTTTGCATTTAAATAACATTCTTTTATTTGTGTACTAATGCAAAATTCCAAACTAAAAAGTCCATTAAACAATTAATTACGAAATTCTAAATTACATTTTCAAGTTTCACATTGAAATGTTAAGAATTATGTCAAATCAAACTACAAGGAATGAAACAACAACAGTTCGCTTATTGGTTATCACTACACCACAGCCATAAGCTGCAAATGAGACCGAAGATGAAAAACGCATGAGCACAACATGCGCTCGTCTCTCTTTTTACTCAAAACAAGTTTCACAACTACAAAACTTTTCAAAGCGACAAAAATGACGGAAAACTGCAAAGAGCGCGCATAAATACATGAATAAAATGTATTTTTTTTTCAAAATTACTGTGTAAATTCATATTGGATTTTGCCGTTTGCTTAAAATTTTTATCGACTGATTTGTTCAGTCTTCTGCGAACGTGCGAGAAGCCTCCAAAAGCAGCACAAAAAGGCTGTAGAAGTTGTTGTACGAACAACGAAACGGTGTGGTCGGCGTAATTTTTATTATTGTTTTGTATGTGGATTTTTTTTCTTTGGCTGTTGTTGTTACTTTTGTTTTTGTTGCTGCCGTGCTGTTGTTGACATGGGTATATTTTACGTTTGCTGTATATTTACATTCGTGCTCATGCATATGAGTTTGGGTCGGGTACAGCGCGCTGTTGTGAGTGAATACAATTCGTTCGTTCGTTCATTCGTTTAAATGAGGGTGTTTGCAAGTCAGGGCGCAGTGGAGGGGTGGTGGCCTTTTTTCCATTTTTTCCGCTGTTCGCTTCTTGGCCATTTTCATATAGCATATCATATACATATGAATATGTGTGGATGTATATTTATTTATGCATGCATAAATGTAGATTTATATACACACATTTATTTTCTTCAAAGTAGCACAACAAAACAACAAAAAGAAAATAATAAACTCTCAGTCAGTCAGACTCGTCATCGAAATTATTTAAAGAATGCTTTTGTAATGTTGATTTCAGTTGTTACAATTTTTTTGTTTTTTTTTTCTTGTTTTTCGTTGGTCATTTACTTCCCCGCGTTGAATTTTAAAATTAGTTTATAAGCACTTAACAACAAATGCTTATTTGTTATAAATAAATGAGCATAAAGACCAGGCGCCTACATTGAAAATTGCAAATTCGGTTAGAACATCTCTCTCATATGTAGACATAAAGACCATGTGTAATAATAATGCATTTGATTTTGCTTACAAGATACAGGGTCGGCATATGACGTCATTTTGCGACACTGACGGGCATAAAAATGCATACAAAATTCGTTGTAAATCTATACACATTCGTAGTATCTGCAAAACTGACTCAACACCTCACACACACTCAGTTGAATACCCTTGATATTAGCTCTGTACTTTACGCAACTGTCAACCGCATTATTCGTCTTCAGCAATAGAGAGTCCTTTTACAGGGTTTTTGTAGTTTTATAAGTAAATGTATTTTGAACAACAAGATTTAAGACATTTTAATTCAAGGGGTAGAACTGATGAAAAACCTCTTGGCACACCCCTTATAAAATTTTAGTCTACTAGGGTTACCAAGCAATTTCTAATAACTTAATTAGTACATTATTATTCTCCAAGAATTTCTGTCATTGTTTCTAACGATGAAAACTACTAACCCACAACATTCAATAGTAAATTTTTTTCATATTATATATTGTGTTCTATATATCCACCTTATAAAACTCTAATTCTAACCACTAATAGTATGAATAATTTAGTTATTAAATAAGTTCTTGCCATACTTTTGCTACAACAGGGTTGCCAATGCTCTCAACATTAAAACGGATACACACATATTCTAGCTAAGCCAATATTATTAAAATATTTTTTAATTTTTTATAAAATATTACAATTCCAGCTGTTCAAAATAAATAAAATTCTTTCTTCTGTTTTTCTAGAAGTTTTCTTCACTTTCATTGTACTAATTTTTTGTTAGTTGGCAATACGACACATACCATACCTCACCTCACATGCGAATTTGTTACTACTTTCAAGCTACAACCACTACAAATCCAAAAAAAAATTGAGTGTGGTTGAAATTTGGAAATTGGGAGCGAAATCAGTTTTCACATAACGCAAACGCACTATTTTCATTTTAATTGCTGCTGAGTAAGAGCAACAGCAAAACTACAAGATTTATAAAATTTTCGATTTTATTAGAATTAGAAAAATGCATCATGCGGACTTCGTTGCGTTGTCGCTGTTTCTATTTCCTTAATTCTATTTGTTGTTGTTTTATTCTGAGTGTGACAAAAGAACATGAAGTATTTTTAAGAACAAATAAAAAATTACGTAGTCATTTTTGGTTTATTTGCAATCAAAGGCAAATTACTGATATTTTATTTTAATAAATTTTTTTTTTTTGTTTTTTTTTCATATGTATTTCAACTTACAAACTAAGACTTTACAAAATCAATTTTTACAATTTAATAGCAACAAAATACAGGTACTAAATTAATTAACATTACTATAATTAATATTAATAATTATTATAATAAAGAATCACCTTTTAAATTTTCGTATTTCTCGTGGCGAAACGTTGCTGCAGCTCAATCCAAAGTCAAGTTCTGTTTGATGTTTTTGTTTAGCGATAATGTAAAAGCCCTCAGAAGAAAAATGCGAAATCGCTAATTACTTTTTAGTTAAAACAATAGCGATCTTATAACTGTATTTTTAGTTAATTTAACATAATTAACTATATTGCAAAGAAAGAAAATAAATATCACCAATGGCAGGGAGTGAAATGTTGAAAATAAAACAAAAGAGCGTAATTCCACTTAAAGCAAGAATAACTTAATTTCAACACAAACTGAATTCAATATATGAAAAAAATAACGCAAAACGTAAAAAGCAGTTGTATCTGCTTCTCTTTCTCTCGTACGTTATATTAAAATAGGTTTTGCACTCTTTCGTTCATGTCTCTACAAAACACACACAAAAGTTATACCGAGTACCGTTTGCTGAGCGTTGCAGCAGTTTAACTTCAGCGGCGCTAGTAAAACCGTCCGACGTACGAGTACATTTTTTTCCACTATTCCGTGAATTTTTTTTTGCTTTATAAAAAATCTTTTAATGCGTTTTTGAAAATGATTGTTTAAAAATTATTTCGCAAATATGAATAATACGAGTGTAAAATAATTAATAAAAAAAATAAAATTTCTTGTAAAATATTGTGATTTACTCTAATTAGTTGCATTAAATGTAGATAAACTTTTTTCTTTTGTTAATTTTTTTTGTCGACCATTTTTTGTGTAGTGCTTATATTAAGAAAAAAAAAAATTCTAAAAATTTTCTTTAATAATTCATAAACAAGAAAAATTTATTACAATTCATTTAATATTGATTGTGTATTGGTTGTTGCTAATTTTCATTAGAGTTTCTTTAATTAAAACTTTTATATTTTTAAAATGAATAGATTAGCGGAACGAGCACGTACGACACAGTCAACGAACGACGACGAACAACAGTCATCATCGCATTGCTGTGATGCCATTTTGTACTTAACATCAGCAAGAAAATTTCATGTGAGGGAAAATAATGTGAAATCAGCAAGTCGTAGAGTTGTATTATCTGCGTACATTATGAAATAGTAGTGTTTTTTGAGTAATATTGTAGTATATATAGTAGTAAATAATACACTCATGTTGGGCACATTTTCGCAAGTATATGTAATGCAAACAATTTTCTTAAACTGGAATCATTTCTAATATTTAAAGTAATTATTATTATAAAGAAAATATTATAAAATATATAATTATAAAAAGATTATTTTATCATTTTTTTATACAAAAAATGATTTTACTCCACATTAAATAATATTTAATGAAGTATTGATATACTTGTGCTACGCATTTTTTTTGGTGCATTTGGTCTCTAAAAACTTTGTGATGGAATAATTTTTAATACGTGAAAAAGTTTTCTATAATTATTAATGTAAGCATTATAAAAGCTTTGTAGCTTTAAGCACTAAATATTATATTTATTATAATAATTAATAATTTACATATATAATATATTTATTTTTTATTTATGCATTAATATATAAGTACATCAAAAATATTTATTTTTTATAAAGATCTATATAAAAATTGTAATACAGATTGAACATGTGTAATAATATATAATATAGATTCTTTATATAACTAATATATTATAAGTAGTTGTTTATTTTAAACAATTATTAAAATATATTACTTATAAATTACTAATATAAAGTAATTTTTACTTTAATTTTTACTATATTTATTGAAATTATATTTTATAAAATTATATTTTATATTTTTCTACAATAATGTACGTAAAAATGCATTGAATATATACAATAATACAAGTATTTACTAGTTTTAAATGCTTAAAATATGTAATGTATATTTATATAATCCAATAGATAATTAAATATCTTTTTAAAAAATGTATTTTTCATAATTAAAATATAGTTTAAATTTACAAAATGAGATATGTAAAAACGAAGTAAAATATTTATTTTAATTGCTGTTAAATTACATGTTATAAAAAGATGTATAATTGTTTAATTGTCATTTAATGTGTATGTGATATAACAATATTATAAAAAAATATGTATCAATAGAATTAAGGCCACTATATTAATGCATTTATAAAAAAAAAATGTCGTTTAAAATTTTTATTATAGTGAAAAAAACCAAAATGATATTGATAAAATGTATATATAAGTTAATTTTATTTCCGTTCTCTTAGATTCAAAACGTTCATCCAAAGATAGTTACTTTACACATAAAACCAAGATAATTCTAGGGAACAGAAAATCAAAAGATGTCTATTGAATTTAAATTATCAGTAAACACTACACTTGTGTGAATGTAAAAGTTAACTAAACGACGACATGATATTCTGAGGTTGATGGATACTTCGATTATGTACCTGAATACTTGCGATTCAAACTAAGGTATCTCTTATATGATATATTTTTAATATATATACAAATTTTACTACCTTATAATAATAGGCTTTGTTTTATATACTTATATACTTTTTAATACCCTAAAAGAATTAATAAAATCGATATAAAAGAAATTTTAAATGAGTTTTATTTACTTTGAATATCTTGTTTGATAAGTTCCAAATGTTGAAAATTAAAAAAAAGTAAGTACATCAAACTGAATTGTTTCACTTATACTATTAAAATGTTTACATTTTTTAAAATAAATTCAAAAGACAATACAGCGTACATAGTTCACGCTTTCAAATTATATTTAAGTTTGAAGGAACCTGCACTTTAGTTTTGAACCTTTAGTAATTTCATATTGTATTTGTTTACATTTTTTACTTGACTTATATATATACTCTTTGTAATATTATTGCTTTGTATTGGAGTAGGATTACAGAAAAAATACTGCTACAGAGATGAGATAAAAAAAATTGTTATTTATTTTAATCTAGTTGAAAAAATCTTGTTTAATACTGAAATCTATATCAGCAATCTATACCATCAACACAACCAGTTCATAAAATATTATATTATTTCATTAGCTATATTATTTTTTGAGAAAATCTAATCTAGTTGAAATCAATCAGTAAAATCAGTATCTATCCTTGCATAACATATTGAATATTTTCCTAGACTTTATAAAAAATTTTTAAAGTATGCAGTTGAGAAATTTGATGTACACGCTATATTAATGTTTTTGGTTTATTATATAATAAACTTATACTGATATAGTTTAGATTACAATTGTCTGTTTTTAAAATTATATTTATTTTAGCAAAATGATAATGCAATATTTTTACACTATGTTTAAATTCACTACATATGAGTGCAAAGTTTTTAATATCGTCCTGCTGCAGTTAGATCTAAAAATAAAATTTATTTAACATGGGTAAATATTCATTTTACTTAATTTTTAAGCCTCATTTGTAATAATATTTACTTCTTAAGATAACATGTGTTCTATAAACTCTAAACTTCCATATAAAAATTAATTATAAATATCATTTTTCTATGTGCAACACTTAGCACCAGTACAATACTATTGTTAAAACACAACACCCTGAATAGTGCTTTTAGTACCATTTTACATTTTTAACAATCAGATGTCGCATACAATTATTTCGTAGCTTAATAATATTAAACCCGATAGATGGCACTTATTTGTAACAACGCCCTCTAACAGTTTCTTAGCACTTTTCTAAATAAGCTATTTTTGTTGAAATCAAAATTATAGCTTAAAGTTCCTCATATGTAATTTGTTACTTAGAAATTTAAAAAATTTTCATATTCAATTAACTAATTATAAATTAAAAAATGTTACTAATAATAAGAAAAGCTGATATAAATATTAATTAATATTTTGCGAAATCCTTTATTCCTTTAACATAGATTTATTTTCTTTAAAAAATTAAATGATTTACCAATTTTTGTGTTTCAACGTCTATTAATTTGAATATAAATATATATAATATTTGTAATACGTTTGGTTAGGGCTTATGTTTAATTAATGTAATTTATAAACAATATAATTTATTTTGAGTTTAATTTCGTTCAACATTATATTTAACAGTATATTTAATGGTAAAAATACTTTTTATAGTATTTTATATGAGTGATATATATTTAATGATTACTTCATCAAATAATTTTATATAATAACTGGGTAAATTATATATCTTGTGTTTAAAAAGTTGTTTCGACATAAATTATTGGTTTTATTTCAGAAATTTTAATTTCCGATACTCACAAAAATATCTACTTTTATTCAAGAGCACCGAGTTTTTCCTGTATATACAGTAACACAATGGTCCAATAGACCTAGGTGGATCCACTAAGGATCGACGGTATAACCTAACCTAACAGCTCCGAAGATAGTCTATATAATTGAGCGATATGTCTATTTTAAATAATTAATCATTGTTTGTTTGAAATTAACAAATAAAATTAATGATTTTATTTACATATATATTCTATTACTAAAAGTAATCCAAAACAAAAAACGACCCAAAGCCCAGCAAAAAGAAAAAATATTTATAGTATCTTTTAATAATATTAATTTTTTTTTGATTTTTAACATCCGTCTTGATGAATGAAAGTGAATTCTTAGCGTTTTTAAAGCTTTTATTACACTTTTATATATTTTTCGACTGCAATTACTTTTGACAAATGATATTTTGTTTTTTACAATTTATTTTAAATTTCATATATTAAATGTAATGTCATTTGTTAGTTGTACCCTCTTGCCTGATATTCTCAAAATTTTATTTATTATTAATCATTTTGTCTTAAAAATGTTTAATTTTTTGCTTTACCTAGCTAAGAAAGTAAGTAAAACTAAAATAAGCAATCTCTAAAAATATATTTTTTCGAATTTGTCTATCTTATTTCTCTAGCTGTTGAATGACATTAATTTCAATTAAATTTTGCAAATACTTTAAAATATTTATGTTGTTACTTCTTGGTAAATAAAGAAAAATTCAAAAAATGAAAAAATCAAAATGTTTACGTTGTACTGCATTTCCGACACAACTGTCAATTTGACATTGTATAATGATTTCATAAAGAAGAGCATTGTAAAAATAAGCGAAACGATAAAAGCATAGAGCAAAAATGTGCGTGGAGAAATTATTAAAAAAGTGATTGTAATATTTACGAAAATTAATTAAAATTGTTAAAAAATTATAATACATTGCTTAAATAATATAATATTGAACAAAAAATAACTAAAAAAACAAATATCTAATAAATATTGTCTTTGAATAAAAGTAGTAAAAATTGAAGGGGTGAAATTGCTGAAATGTAAAAGTGTTTGTGTTAAAAAGTCGTAAGAAAATTAGAAAAGAGGTAGAGGCAAGTGTAATGTGAAAAGTGAAAAAGGGAAATAGAAATACTACCAAATAGATAAAAGAAACAATACGGAAATACGCGTTGTCTTGCTTTTCTGTAGCGGGGTCGAGGAGCAATACATAACAAATGAAAACTGGCATTGCAATGCGTGAAAATATATTAAAATATGAAATAAATTTTTCAATATACAAAATATATTTTTTAAATTATAATAAATGTAAATTTAATAAAGAATTTTATATAAAAATTTTCAATGAAATCAATTTATAAAATTGCGTACATATTAAATATTTAAGAGAATTAAAATAAAAAGTTTATTTTACTTATGCATATATATGTAAATATATATATGTGCATGCTGTTTAATAATGTTGTGTGGATATGAAGAGAAATTTATATAGAAAAAAAATGTAATAACTGAAAATGCAACACTGTTTAACTCCGCCGCTGTCGGCGTTGCTGCTGTCGGTCAATGCACGTCAAAATAAAGAAAATGAAGATGATGCAAAGGCAACAAAACAAAAAAACGTAACGTAAACTTCGGCGTGTTTGTGTGTATGTGTGCAACGCGAAAAAATGAATTAAAGTGCATGCAAAATATAGTAGTAGTAAAACAACAGTAGTGTGATAAAGTGGTGGGTTAAAAAGGGAGTGTCGAAAGCGCTGCGAAAAAGTTTTTAGATTTTTGTGAGTGAAAATGAAAATATTAATTAAAATCTGCAAAACAAATATCATGCGGTTTAATAATTTAAAAATGAATAATATAAATGCAAGGATAAAGAGTGTCCTTTGAGTGATCATATTCATACTAAAGAAAGAAGTGTACAAAATAAAAATAAAAAAAATATAAATAAATAAATTGCTTGCTTTTGAAATAATTATTGGTGATGATTTACATAAATACAAAACGTTGTCTTGTTATCGGCAAATGTTATTAATTATTAAAAAAACAATTCTCGAAAAGCAATTCGATTATTTTATTGATAAACATAAAATTTTTGCAAAATGGCATCCAGTTGGCGTTATGGCAAAAGGAGCAAATATCGTGCCAAAGGTAAGAAGCGTAAATAATTTAAAGTTATTTCACTTCGACTTACAACTAAAGTAAAATCCCGATTCTTGTTTCCTTTTGACTTTATGAGTGCCCTTTTCCTTTGTTTTTTTTTCTTCACTTTCAACACAACACAATAAAACTTATAAAACACTTCACAAAATTTTATTACTTTTAAAATCAAATCAATCACTTTGCCGCCTTAGTTAAATCTCCAGGAATTACGTAGTTTATATAGAACAATATTTAATGTTTAAAAGTGCTTTATAGCACACTTTTATGCGGTACTGAAGCACTTTATTGAGTCATTGTAGTAGTTTAATGCGTTATTGTAGCACTTTTATTTAATATTTTTAGTGAAGTTCATTTGATGGTAAAAGTATTTATAAAATTATAAAAAGTCCTTAACTTTATTAATGAATTATTAATTATAATTATATTATTTAATTATAATAACCCTCAAGATGACCGAAATATCTGTTAATAAAATATATTACATAAATTAACAACTGATATTTTTATAATCTTAATTTTTTTAAGTTTTTTATATTAAAATATAAATTTAAAAATACGATCATAATAATTATGAGTTAATAAAAATATGAGCAAGATGTCCGAATTGATTAACTTTTCAATTTTCTAATGAAATATAATACTCGATATAGCCTCAATATTATCCTCTTCAGTCGCTAATATTTGACTGTAGAATAGTACAATGATCCTGCATTGAAAGAAAAATGTATAGAGATTCGCATTATGTCGAATATGTATACTTTTCAACTTTTATTTTCCAATTGTGAGTTATGAAAGAAAAAGAAAAATATTGTTATTTACCCAAAGAGTGTAATAACGGTGGATACCCACTACCTGAAATGTTTCACCGATAACCTCATATACTTGATTCAAAATTATATTAGCTATCAGACAAAACCAAATGAATATAACGCTTTATAAAGAAAATTATTATTATTATTTCCATACTCTATTAGGAGCTTAATGAGTCTACAAAAGATTTTCGCTGGCTTCTATTTTGTGCTATTGCTCTCAACTCGTTAAACGATTTGTCCGTATCCTGCTAAATTGTTCTTCTCCAGGTCATTGCTGGTCTGCCTCTACGCTTAGTCTGCTATATAGATAATAATCCAGTAAATATTGTATTTAGTTTTTTATTTTATAATTTTTTTAGTATTTAAGTACAAAATAAATAAAAAATTTGTTATAAGAATTTTTAAATAAAAGCGTTTTATATATTTGATTGTCTAATAGTTAATATAATTTTGAATTCAGAACATCTTTAATAAATGTTCTGAACCATATCAATGATACTAACAATCTTTATGCTGTGCTTCAAGATATTACTTGTTTTATTGAAACGATAGAGTGCTTTCAGATTCTAAAATAGGGATATCTTTATTCACAAAGTACTATTAGTTAGTTATCATACTATAAAATTTCTCACAACGAAACCACTTCAAAGAGGTGCGTTCTATAAGAAAGATTGTTGTCTATCTAGCTATCTAAACTGACTTTGAAATTGTGATATAGTTGATAAGATAGAATATACTTCTTAATATAGCTTACAAGTAAGCATTTATAATGATTTAATATACTGATTTAAAGAAATTTGACCCACTTAAAGTGGGTAGTTTTTTTTTAACAACTTTTTCTCTTTGGAAATTTATTTATATCTCCAATTACTACTTTTTTCTTTTATGTTTTTTTTTTTTATAATTCATTCATTAAGTTAATGAAGCATAAACGACTGATATGTTATTATTTTGCTCTTCAACTTCAAGATTATATAGTCTAGGAATGCTGTCATCAGCTAGCTTAATGACCCCATCAACACCCCATTGAAAACGTTAGTAAAATGCGTTCATTGATCACGTTGGTTTTCACAATATGGAAAATGAAAGGAAATCCTAAAGTAAACAGGGCAACAATGGGACAGGAAACAATCTGACTCTGTCATCGACATATGTTCATATTTTTATTATTTTATTTTTATAAAAAATCTTAAAATTACCTTATAACTATAAAGGTATACACATGATCTGATCGTATTGTAATTGATTAAATAACAGAATGGCATCTCGTATTCTTCGGGGGAATCACACTAAAACAGTTGTTTGTAAGACAAACATGGAACAAAACACAGACATAATTTACTGCGTATCAATTACGCGTTTTTCTATGAAACTTCTCTGTATCCACAAAACCAATTGACATTTCTCCAAAAAAAATTTTTGTTAAAACTTCCATTAATAAAAAACGAGACATATACACAATTTGTAATAACAAAAAAAAATAAAATAAATAAAAAATATAGTGTACGAAGCGTAAAAGTAATAAACAATAATAATATTTTCAAGAAAACAAATAAATAAAATATTGTGCTTAGCTTATGTTATGTTGTTTCTGTTTTATTTTTTTATATTATATATCGGTTTGTTTTTTATGAAGTATGGTAAATATACTCCAGTCATCTATCTCTCCGAATAGTTTATTCCTCTGCTTTAAATTTTTTTCCTCTTTTCATTTGTTTATATTGAAATCTTTGTATGAACTACTGTAAATATTCGTATACAAATATTCGAATTATGAAAAACATGTGCCGAGAATAGTAGGCACATAATATATTACCTTATATATATTTACAAATTAACATATATTAAATATGAATATATGATGTAATAATTTAAGTAATTAGAAGTGTGAATTTATTTCTAAAACCTACTATTTAAAGTTGTAAGTAATACCTCAAACATTGTCATAAATAAGTAGTAGTTCTCCAAAGTGGTCAAGTGGTTCGAAATTCGTCACTGCATTCAATAGCAATGAACATGCGGACTTAAAAGTCAATGATAATCAAGCAATTATTGAGCTAGCCAACACTAAAACAATTTACACAAAAAATGAGTTTTGTAGACATATACTTTCTTCTTTTTCTTCTGTTATAAAAGAATAGATTTCGAATAAGTTAAAATGTTTCTTGAAATGAGTTAAATAGTTTTTGTACTAGACAATTTGAGAACAGATATTTCCTTCTTTCTAGTTATTATATTGCCTACAATGTAATGTTCTAGTAATTACAGGAATATTTGTGAATAACATACAAACGAATAACTTTCGAATCGGCGAATGTTTGTTTCTTGAAACTAGTTCTGCATAAAGAAATTTAAAACGAATGATTGAACACAAATTAACCAATAAACAAATGAGTGTCTTGTAAGTTGAGTTATTTGCTGAAGATCTTTTACATGTACTACCATCTATTCCAGAAAGATTAGTGAAAGAATAGTGATGCTGTAGAATAAAAATCTCACCAAGTAGTTAATTTGTTTCTTGTTTATTAAGCATGTCGACCAATGCAATTCTTTTTTTTTCTAACATTAAAATACTTAAAATCGAATCTTTATTTGGAAAAGAGACTGCTTGTTTCGTCTAGCTTGCGCATAATGAAACTCGGCAACGAAAATCAAGTGGTGAACACCGAGTGATCACCACCACACCAGAGAACCCTTGAAGGGGAAAGATCGCTTGAGTAATCTACTTTGCGGTCTCACTCTAACAAGCGTTTTCTGATAAGGGTAGTGATGCTCGAGTGCCATTGGGCACTTGGTGCGACACAAAACTTTTCCCGAGAACTCCAATTGAGAAGAAATTTCTTGGGTGGTCTAACTTGCGAACAGTGGAACTTTTGTACGAATGATGAGTTGCATTGGACATAAATGATAAGCGACTATGGGAAGATAAATATAATCTCATCTAGTACTGTGTAAGTACATACATAAGTTGAACTGATAGACATTGACCTCCAGGCATAGGTTCCTCTGTCCTTAGCGAAAAATAAAAAAATCTGTTTTAAATTATAAATATAAAATAACAAAACATGCTTTGACCATAAATATACTGAATCACTGTCAGCTCTTTACAAAACTATAAAACCTTTATGTTATTCTAGTCTTTTTCATAAGTGCGAATGTTATATCAAAACTTTGCTTATCTGCAAGGAATTTCCGATTAAATTTCGTCATCGAATTTAACGCACCTTACAAAAATAAATTATAAATCTAAAAGAGGTTACGTAGAATTGTGTGGTGTAATTTCTAATTGAAGTTGAGCTGAATCATGCCCTGTCATTGTAGATTTCATATTTTTGCACTAATTAAAGTTTTAGTCATCGACATTACGTATTTAATAGTTCTCCATGTGGTCGGTCTCTCCGAACTCGTTAATTTTCATGTTTATATGCTACACATACGAGTACGTATTCTACGTGTACGAGCGAGTATTCCTCTGTGTTCCGTCCTAGTTTTTTGTGTCATGGAAAATTCACAAATAGAAATTTCGCGTTCAACAATTGTAAAAATTACTAAATAAACAAATTCAAGAAAAATATATGTTTATGATAAAATTGAAGCTAAAAGAAAAAAGCCTTGATTTATGTCCCTGTTCCCGCTCTTAAACGAATATAGTATATCAGCTATTCGCCGCCTAATGAATTTTGCTATTTGAATTTCATTTGAACGAATTTCGGTTGGTTTTGTTTTCTGTGCATTATTGTGATTGTTTAAATTGTTTTATCAAAATAAATCAAAATTTTGAAATTTCTTGAATTTTGTGCAATTTCTGAAAATTCTATAAAGCGTTTTTGTGTTTATGTATATTTTTATATTTCTAAATAAAATCGTATGAGTAATTTGTTTTAGTTTTTTTTAAATGATTTCTAAAGTTGTTTATGTCTGTCTACAAAGCGTTGTGGATTGAGGCGACCGACGACTACTTGCATCAAGAAAGTTTAGAAAATGTACATCGTATTATTTACTCTAATAATATATAAATACATATATTTAGATATAGTCAAATCTTAAAGACTAGTCATTGTCATTGATTGCATGGAATATATATAATTTTAATCATAGAATTGTGAACTAGAATAATATATTCTATTATTATATAGAAGATTCTATAACTAGAATATTATATATTCTAATCTTCAG